AAACTGCAACATAATTGTGTTCACCATGCAACGAGCAATTGCAAGATGAAAGGACTGATCACGATTCCACGCGGTCAGCACGGTGTTTGTTTGAAACTGCGAGGATTCGCCCAGCAGATTCGCCTTGTCAACCTTGCGCAAACAGGAATCTGTAGACTGGGCTCAGGGGAAGGGGAACTTCCTCACTGTACAGTCTCTCAGGTTGGATTGCCGCGGCCCGACTGGAGGAGGTTGCTGGAAAGGCTTGGAGGGGCCAAGCGACGAGCTTGACATGAGCCATCAGAAATGGGTGAGGCATGTGTTTGTGGTTTGGTGGTGAGTTGACAATATCCGGTTCGATCGTCAATGGGTGCGGTTCGGTACTTTTAGCGTTGAATCGGGCCACATAGACTTTCGATTCCCACCCCATCGTTACTGCAAGCCGCTCCATTTCCTCACACTAACTACCATTCAAGCGCCTTCCGTACCAAGATCTATCAATTCCACATGATATGATTTTCACACATATTATGGGGGGGCATGAAGTGAATTTCACTCCCACACCAAAAACCCAAAGCAGATGTCCAGAGTGCGGGCCTGGCTGTGTGGGCTGGGACAGTGCGCCCCCCGAATCTGATTTCAATTCGGTCAGGGGCTCCAAACAGGGTGGCACGTCCGGAAAAGTCCGGAAAATGTCAACAACTTCCAGTGCGCCGGCTCGGGGTGCCCGGACTGTTAACAAGCAGGCCCAAGTCCTTTTTCTGGATGTGCCTGATTTGCGGGGGCTTTTCTTCCCAAAGCGTCTGAACCGGTTTGAACCAGGTCTGAAACCAGCCTGAAACATCGAAAAGGATCCCCCCAACTCCTGCTGCTTGCCTGCCTTGAGAAGGTTCAAAGAGTGGTAAGAGCCAAGTTCCCTCAAGAAAAGGAAGGGCATGGGATAGGTAGGGGTCAGACCAAATCATCTTCCGGGAAGTCTTGGAAAGAGGGGTAAGCAGATGGCCGCAGTTCAGGCGAGATGGGGCGGCGCCTCTTTCAGAAAGAAGAGCTTTGACCGATTTGGTCTGACCCCTATCCTATCTCATCTCCGGATGTTTTCCAGTTTTTCCCAGGCGCAGGGGTTGGGGGGATCATTTCCGATGTTTCAGACAGGCTTCAGACCTGGTTCAGACCAGTTCAGACGTTCTTTTGGAGTCCCGCAAAGCAGGCGCATCGCGAACAAGGACTTGGGCCTGCTTGTTAGAGCCGGCGCGCTCCAAGTTGTTTCCGGACTTTTTCCGGACTTTTCCGGACGTGCCATGCTGTTTGGAGCCCCCGAACAAGTCCGGAAAATGTCCGGAAACAACTTCCAGTGTGCCGGCTCGGGGTGCCCGGAATGTTAACAAGCAGGCCCAAGTCCTTTTTCTGGATGTGCCTGATTTGCGGGGGCTTTTCTTCCCAAAGCGTCTGAACCGGTTTGAACCAGGTCTGAAACCAGTCTGAAACATCGAAAACGATCCCCCCAACTCCTGCTGCTCGCCTGCCTGGAGAAGGTTCAAAGCGTGGTAAGATCCCCGCACAAATTGGAACAATTTCCGGGGATGGGAAGGAGGATTTGTAAGGAAAGGAAGGGCATGGGATAGGTAGGGGTCAAACCAAATCATCTTCCGGGAAGTCTTGGAAAGAGGGGTTGCTTGACACTTAAGTGCTGCGCGAGAGTGCAAGAAAAAAGTTGAGTGCAAGAGAAAAGGTTGATTCCAGCAACACGAACGTTTCGAAGGATGCTCCACCTCCCCTGGCTCCTTGGCGCCTGAGCCGATCCAAAGCAGATGGCCGCAGTTCAGGCCTTTCAGCATGAGATGGGACGGCGTCTCTTTCCAAGACTTGCCAGAAAGAAGAGCTTTGACCGATTTGGTCTGACCCCGATCCTATCTCATGCCCTGCCCTTCCCTTCTTTAGAAATCCTCCTTTCCATCTCCGGAAATTGTTTCCAGTTTTTCCGGGGGTAGACCCTGACACTTCCCTGCGCGGGGTGCCTTTTCAGAGCCTTCTCAAGCAGGCGCAGGGGTCGGCGGATCATTTCCGATGTTTTAGACTGGTTTCAGACTTGGTTCATCTCCAATGTTTTAGACTGGCACATTGCGAACGAGGACTTGGGCCTGCTAAGCCGGCGCGCTCCGGACTTTTTCAGGCGCCAATCCGAGTCTGCATTTTCGAAAAAGCCCGGAAACCTTGGAGTGCGCCGGCCTGGGGCTGGCGGGCAGGCCCACGTCCTTTCTCTCGCTGTGCCTGATTTGCGGGGGCTTTTCTTCCCAAAGCTATTGAACCGGCTTGAACCAGGTCTGAAACCAGTCTGAAACATCGGAAACGATCCCCCCAACTCCTGCTGCTTAGCTGCCTTGAGAAGGGAAACAGCCAAGTTGCCCCCCTCCGCACAGGGAAGTGTCAGGGTCTCCGGAAAAATTGGAACAAGGAAGGATTTGTAAGCTTGGAAAGAGGGGTTGCTAGACACTTAAAAGTGCTGCCTTCAGGAATCGCCGGAAACTGTTTCCAATTTTCCGGGGGTAGACCCTGACACTGCACAGGGTTGGGGGTATCATTTCCAATGTTTCAGACTGGTTTCGGACCTGGTTCGGACCAGTTCAGACGCCTTTTGGGCCCCGAGCCGACTGGCGCTCCAAGTTGTTTCTTTGTGAGAGTTTGGATGGGCCGCCAGTCAGGCGCTAAGGGGCCAGTTGCGGGGATCGTTTCCAATGTTTCAGACTGGTTTCGGACCTGGTTCAGACCAGAAAAATTTGAAGAATTTCTGGGGATGGGAAGGAGGAGACCAAAGGAAGGGAAGGGCGTGGGATACGGGAACGGTTGCGCAGAGGCCTTTTCCGGCGTGAGCAAAGCCATGTGAATCTCAATCATAAAAATGTGTAACGTTCCCGGTTCAAGAAAGGTTCGGTTCTTGCATTGGTCGATTCTTAGCACCAGCTGTTATGCACAGGCTCGATTCTACACAGTTCGGTCCCGGAGTGGTTCGAAGCGATTCGATTCTGAAAGGGCTTCGATTGCGGTTCTTGGTTCGATTCTATGCCTCCCTGCAATATGCCCATAATTCACGTGTAGCACCATCAAGATTGCGTAGTGCTAACACATGCTGAGTGTATGCATACTACTGCCTGCGCAGCCCTCTACACCCTGGGCTGTGTGCCTAGGTGCCCGCGGCACGTCCCTTTGCATCCTCCCGTAAACGCACGTTCGATCTGACATGGGGGTCTCTCGGCATCCTGGCATCAAAGTCGGCATTGAACCGATCAACATTGAATCCCCTGAGCTGTGCCTGTAAGCAGCAAATGCAATGAACTGCGTGTCACACACCCAGTGAAGAACCAAGCATGCGCAGTATTGTTACGCGTTGCGTCTTTGTCTGTGATGCTAGTAGTTCATGAATGAGGCTGGGGCTTCATAACCCCCACCCGAACACATTTCGTCCATTTCGTCCATGGACGCATGCCGACTCTGGGAGCGGGGGAATTGGGATGGTGACATAACATATGCAAATCCGAGGTGTACAAAGTGGAAGGGTTGGCCCATGCTTCACAAGGGCTCTTGCACCGGGAGGTTGCTTGAGGCGACAGTACTCAACCTTGGCAGGCGAGTAGTTCAACTTTGTCAAAACCGTTTTGGGATCCCATATTTTGGGGGATTGGTGCACCACCGGGGGTACGGTTTGGATTTTGACCCCTGGGCAACCGTTTGTACCGCTGGAAGAGCAAGTGGCCAGGGCCCTCAAGTCTCAAGCCTGCAGGTGCAGTCAGCACGACAGCTCATTGCCCAAGGCTGCAAGCACTGCCCCAACAACGAGGCGCGTTCAACGCTCGTGGTATGACAGATGGCATCTTGTGGATTTGGCAGGCGCAGGCTTTGTGTTTTGGGTGTTTACCAGCCCCCAACCTTTCAAGGGTTGGATTTGAAACCTTGCGACTGCTTGACGCTGTTGCGTCACCTATGGTTTAGCTTTTCGAGTGCCATACAGGCACTCGTTTGTTTTTGCTTGTGCCGCGTTGCGCTGCTTCGTTAATGGCTTAGCCAACGGTCTTTGAAATCATACTGTGCAGCTTCCATATTTGACATGAAGTTGGCCGTGGTTTGCTTTCTCACCCTGCCAGGATGTGTGGCTTGAGGCAGCTCGTTTGGAGAAGCCCGCGAATGCAAAGGCGGTCTTGGCCAAGGCTGGGCAAACAGTGTTTGTGTGTGTGTGTGCGTGCATTGCTAAAGGACGGTAAAGGAGCATTGCCACTCCAACACACAGACAGAAGCAACGGCGATCTACTGTGTCCTATTTGTAACAGGTCAATCCAGATTGACGTAAACTGACGTGGGCCTTGCCTACAATATATTATTTTGGGTACAAGCAAGTGAGCTAAAGTTCAGCAAACGTCACATTCGGGCCGGGACAAGTTCGTAGCCGACTGACGATAGCCGACTTTGGAGCCTCAAGGCAGACCAAAGAATTCATAGCTTTCCAGTGCCCAAAAATGTGTTTTGAAATTCCTCAAGACTGCATATCAAGGAACAAGGCACCACCAACCTTTATCCTGCGCCATTGTGCAGCATTCCATGCTCAAGTACTGCACGATAGTCTACCGTGAGTTCTTATTGAGTTAATATTTTGGTACCGCAGCAACACGAAGATGTTTGATGGAATACGTCATTAGAATATTCAGGTATTTGAAGGCTTTGCACTTTCGCCTACGCACATACATAGGTGTCCTTTTTGGTTGTTTTGCTAGAAAAATAGATGGGCCTGGTTTTCCTGGTGGTTTAATCACATACCAGGGCCATCTATTTCCCCTAAAAGGACACCCGCACATATCTCTTGTAGCATTTTGCTTTGACAGATTCCATGCTTGCGCAGGCAGTGAAGTCGCTGCCGCACAGCGTGCGTTTGTGGATCGATGCCGCCAACCGCGAGACGGAGAGATGGGGGGAACTTGGAGTGAAACACGAAGTGGTCTAGGGGTACCTTCCATGTCCATTCTTTCCAGGCATCCTTCTTTCTTTAAAAAAAAAACAAAAAAAATATGAAATTAAAAAGCAACAACAAGACACACCCAGCACCCTGGGGAAACAGCTAGTTTTTGAAAAGAACGATGTTTGAAAAGAATGGGGAATCAAGCCCTAGAAGTGGACGCACCTGGTGCGGCGTTAGCCTTGGCATACTTGTACATTCATATCTCCGCTTGACAAGGGATGTAGGCCGTTTGTTACTCCACGAGAAGTTGCCCCCGGACAGGAATGGCGCGAGTGCTGTTCGGACACCGAGGAATCCCACTCTCGTTTGAAACAGTGCAGGGTCTTGCTGTGTTTCGTAGCATTTGCGAAACGATCTCAACGTACGCGTTGCAGTTCTCGGGCATCAAGTCATACCCTTGCGCGCCCATGTTCCACTTCGTGCCTTTGTTTGCACGCTTCCTTGCCTTTCCTTCTCATGTTGTCGAGTCGAAACCATTTTCTTTCTTATCCGCGGTTCCTGACATCAGACGTCAAGACTGCACCGCGCTTTGTGTCGTTCGGCAGGATGTGCAGGCGAAGGGCCGGGTGCTGCGCAAGGCTCGGAGAAGCCGGCACAGAATGCTTCCATTCTGCTTGGCACCACCCATTTTAGAACCTATTTTAGTGGGGATTGAATCGGATGTTCACCGGGGGTACGGTTTGGATTTTGACCCATGGCCAGATGTGTGAGGGTTGCATGTGCAAAAAGCAAGCGTGTGCCAAAGGTGGCTATCTTGGCTGTGCCTTTGCGCAAGGCCTTGGAGTTCATCCCCAACTCCGTGCGACTCTGGAAGGAGGCGGTCAGCCTGGAGGAGTCGCACCGAAGAAACGTAAATGGCGGAGAGTCCAGGAGCATCGGTGAAAGCGCCATGAGGCAATGAGGCACCAGGGAATTTGTTTCGTGGTTTCATGCATGTCCAGGTGCGCTGCCCAGGTGGATGGTTGCATTCTTGCATATGCCGCAGCCGAATTGGCTGATTCGCTGATTCGACCCCTGTGGGCCATGGCGAAGCAGGCCCGGACGAGGATATATGGCAATGACGCCATCGACAGCATGCCAGAGCTGGTGCAGGAATGGTACCATGCGGTAGGGAGTCCCATGGGTGTCGGGAACATGGCATGGGCCAAGGAGTGTGTGAAGAAGGGTGTCGACGTGAACGCCCGGTTGGATGCCTACGGCGGCACCGCACTCTTCTTGGCCATCGAGCAGGGCAGTTGGAACATGATCAAGTGGTTGGTGGAAGAAGCCAAGGTGGATTTGGAGATTCTGGACTATGGCGGCTACAACGCGTTGGACTACGCGGCTGCTTGCCATTGGCACCATCCAGATCGACCTCCAATGGTCGACGGAAAGCCGGCCCCCATGGACGTGGCTTCCTTCCTGAAGAGCCAAGGCATGCAACACACGTGGTTTGGAGCCGCCTTGGCGGAGGACATCGACCGACTCTGGGAGTTCCTGGAGAATGGCCAGGACGTCAACGAGCGGGGGGGTCACTTCAACAAGAGCGCCCTTGAGGAGGCCGCAGACAACGGGGGCTACTGGACCGCCAAGTTCTTGATGGTGAAGGGCGCGCAGGCCAGCGTCACGCCCAACTGGATCTACGCCATGACGCCGGAGAGCTACTGCACCGCGAATATCCAGGGCAAGCTGGCGAAGTGACGCAACGAGTCATGCGCCCTGTCTTCCATTTGATTCCGGAGGCGCGCACGTGCAAGCAGCACCCTAGGAAGGGCTCAGTATGCTGGACAGCACGCCATTTCACGTAATCATTGCAGAAAAAGAGCGGCACGGAGCATTCAGGAAATGGGCATGAATACGTGTTTGTGCGTGTTTCAGTGCGTGTGCGCGTGCGCGTGCGCGTGCGCGTATGTATGTGTGTGTGTGTGTGTGTGTGTGTGAGTGTGTGACTGTGTTTGTGTGTGTGTGTTTGTGTGTGTGTGCGTGTGTGTGCGTGTGTGTGTGTGTGTGTGTGTGTGTGTGTGTGTGTGTGTGTGTGTGTGTGTGTGTGTGTGTGTGTGTGTGTGTGTGTGTGTGTGTGTGTGTGTGTGTGTGTGTGTGTGTGTGTGTGTGTGTGTGTGTGTGTGTGTGTGTGTGTGTGTGTGTGTGTGTGTGTGTGTGTGTGTGTGTGTGTGTGTGTGTGTGTGTGTGTGTGTGTGTGTGTGTGTGTGTGTGTGTGTGTGTGTGTGTGTGTGTGTGTGTGTGTGTGTGTGTGTGTGTGTGTGTGTGTGTGTGTGTGTGTGTGTGTGTTTGTGTGTGTGTGTGTGTGTGTGTTTGTGTTGTGGTGAGTGTGTGTGTGTTGTGGTGTGTGTGTGTGTTGTGGTGTGTGTGTGTGTGTG